ATTTGTATCATCAATTAATTGGAATATTGTAAAATAGTACAATTTGTTGACCAGAAAAAAGATTAGGACATAATAGTTACAACAAGAGTGGTATTGACCCTTTAACTATACATACAGGTAAGCCGAGAGAAAGAGAAATGGAGTTTAATATCCATGACACAAACTAGGCCATTTCGGGACTAACATATGGTTCAATTTTATTTCAATTATTTGCTTTCCCGTATGGGTCTTTAGCAGTGTGAGTAAACCGGAGGACACAGAGAAAACCCACGATGTTGACTCAATGACAGACCTTATGATACAGATAGTGTTCACGTGCTAACCATTCGGCCATCCAACACCCCCATTCTATATAAGTCATGTGTTATATGTGGAATATGATAACATTTACATGTTCTATATTGCTAACATCATACCAAGAAATCAAGAAAGCAGAGGAATATCTTAACACTAACATGCTATATATTACTAAAATCATACCAAGAATCAAAGAAAGCAGAGGAATATTTAATATTTTGTGTTGTTAAAGCGTAAAATGTTTGGTAAATTAAGCCATCCATACAAATTGTCTAAACTTAGAAAATCTGTCAGTCGTTTGAAGCAAAACGATTTCTTTTTTTTTATCTCAAGTAAAAATTGATCAATCAATTGGAGGAAATCGTGTCCAGCCTTACAACAGGGAAAAGCTACCAAATAGATCTTTCATTAGTGTAATAAAGCTTTTCGTCCTCTATACAATGTAAGAGATTAAACGACTCATCAGACCATGTTTGGCCATCAACGTAAATAGTGTAATGACTGTTTGTATTGTAGTACTAATACTGTTTAACGTGGAGTACCGATTGTCAACACAAGACAAGATAACTCCACTCAAATATTTTTTGATCTGGTTTCAGCTTTTTTGATTCCTGTGTCAATACGAGCTTTGGTACGAGAAAATCTCAGAAATTTACTTCTAATCATTCTGGCCATATTTTCGGTTTGCTGAACGCTGTATTTGTTGATATTTTACCCTTTAAAGCCAGTGATCCATATTTGATGGATTTTGAATCAGAGAGAGAGAGAGAGAGAGCGAGAGAGAGAGAGAGAGAGAAAGAGAAAGAGAGAAATGGGGTTTAACACAAACTAGGTCATTTTGGGACTAACATAAGGTTCCATATTATTTCAATAATTCACTTGCACGTAGGGGTCTTTTAGCAGTGGGAGGAAATCGGAGGAAATCGGAGAACCCGGAGAAAACCCACGAGGTTGGACAGGCAACCTTACTCCTTGTCACGTATAACCGGGGAATCGAAACCACACCAGTTGACCCAATGACAGACCTTATGATACAGCACGCACGTGCTAACCATTCGACCATCCAACGCCCCCGAATTTTGAATCCATTACAAACTACAATATTGTGAAAGTTGGATCTCTAAAAGCAATAACAGTCTAACAATGTTTCAGTTCCAAAGATATGATGAATTGAAAATTTTGCAACATTCGACACCCACCTCAGCCGATATAAACAAACCAGTGCCACCTATAAGTGTTTGGGTAAATCTTCTAGTTCTTGTTTATTACAGATTTAACGTCCAATCCATTAAATATGATATTATGGACAGGTTGATTTAATTAAATTATTTACACTTAAAGGCTTGAAAATTGGTAAAAACACAAAATATAAAGTCCTTGTATTTCAAAAAGTCACCTTAAAACACACTTACAAAAGAGAGGGCGGGTCATCGGTAAAATCTTTTGATGGGCCTCTTTTAATCCAGTTGAATCCAAGCCAGGACATCATCTTCTGATGTTTTTTTTTAAATTATCAATTTAAGTAGATTTGAGATTGTCAGTAGATTAGGTGTCAGAAGGATTAGAAATTGTCTGAATGGTTAGCACGTCCGTGCTGTATCATAAGGCCTGTCATTGAGTCAACTGGCGTGGTTTCGAATCCCCGGTTGTACGTGGCAAGGAGTAGGGTCGCCTGTCCAACCTCGTGGGTTTTCTCCATGTACTCCGGTTTCCCCCCACTGCTAAAGACCCTTACGCGCAAGCGAATTATTGAAATAAAATTAAACCATATGTTTGTCCCAAAATGACCTAGTTTGTGTTGAGTGGACGTTAAATCCCCATTTCTCTCTCTCTTTCTCTCTGATGACAGACCAACAGCTTTAAGTTACTGACACAATTAAGTTTCTTCAGCCAAGCCTTTCCATTAATCTCAAAAGATTTTCTTTCATTTTATATTTTGTTAAAACCTATCAACTCAAATGTAGCGTTCTTCAAAACTCAAATTATTTCTCTGCTTCAGGGAAAATTGGTAATTTCAAAATTTAGTCAATTTAAATGTTGTTTTTTTTTTTCTCTCCAAAATTTCATTTCCCTGACTGTTCAACCGTTATATTCCATTTTATATTGGTAAATTTTATACATGTATATATGAACGCCATCTTCGTAACGTTAAATTGGTGATTTTAATAAAGTTCTTGATGAAGTCGTACAAAAACCTCTGATAAATTCTTGCGATTTTTATCATGCCATCAGACAGCAATCATACATTGTATTAGCTATTAAAATCAGAAAAATTTCTTTCCTTTAGACGTGATAGTGAAAACGCTGACATTGCCACCGGGAAGCCATGTCATGGCAGCCATTTTAAGAAATCTCAATTTTCTTTTCTGCAAAATATATTTAACAATTTATGATCCGAGTTCAGATTTTTCATATTTTTTCTGTAAGTCATGACAACTGGAACGAGAAACTGAGAATTTTATTATGGAACTAAGTTTATTAGTATTGCATATCATCAGCCGAGAGGTTAAAGACTTTCCCATGTTCCTGACCCAAGTGGCAACTTTTTCCCAAACATCAAATAATTATGAGCGAAATCGCAACCAGTTTTTTCATTACGTAAATCATGAATCAACACACTTAATAGTTTCAAAATCAATGAATAGCCAATGTTTTACGACTCGCTGGTTTAACATGTATATTGATGAATATTAGGAATTATTCCACGAAAATAAACACCCCAATCAAACTGGTCAGATCGTATTTCACATGCTCAACTTTCATGCATTTTGAAGATTGAATTGATAGCCAAATACTTTTCACCGAAGCAAGAAATATGATTAGAATTATTGACCAAACAGACGACTGGACTAGACCGTGGAACCCAAGGTCCATTATTTTTCATTAACTTGTGTATTCAGGTCGTGTTTTACACCATCATGACTTAGTCACTATGTACATTTCTTTATCACCTTCTCTTCTTTCATTTATCTCCTTCCATTTTTGTTTTATTGATTTGAAAGGGTTACTTCATTACCATAAGAATCTGTTAATCCTACTGGCGATTGCCAACTTAACATCTAATATGACAAGACAGAAAACACCACGGACGATACCACACAATCCGAGTACACGACATTCGATTTGCTTTTACGACAAATTACAGGAAATTATTAGACAACTTTTCCTGGCAAACACAACTACTTTATCTAACAAGAAAAACATTCAAAAGACAATTTTTTAAGCTTTTTTGGTGGGGGGGAGGGTAGAGATAGAAAACCAACTAGGGTTCTTATTTAAAGAGGCAGGATGATAAAAGGCCAATAACAATTTTAATTTTATCCAAAAAAAGGGAAGAATTAACGTTAATTAAATAATATTTTGGAAGATAAAGGAGAGTGAGAGAAATGGGGTTTAACGTCCACTCGACACAAACTAGGTCATTTTGGAACTAACATATGGTTTAATTTTATTTCAATAATTCGCTTGTGCTTAGGGAGGAAACCGGGCGGGAAAACCACTGAGGTTGAGCAGGTGACCCTACTCCTTGTTAAGTACAACCGAGAAATCAAAACCACATGTGTGGCATCCTTATACATGTTAATTATGTGTGGCTCGATCCCTTATGTCATATTAATTATACTTGCATAACATTAATATTCTTGGGGAGAGTGATATAGACCCTTTAAAGTTAAAAGATTACATGTGTATATTCTGTGTTTAATCAGTCGTGCTGTCCCTTTAAAGAAGCGTGCACATGTTAATTACGTGTGATTAATGACTTGCCGTAAACTATGAATTATGGTAACTGTGACAGATTGTCTTTCTTTTTCTGTACAAAAATTCCTGTTTCTTGGAATAAATGCATGTTGGTTAGCCAATTAACTAGGCTTTACATTTTACGTAGAAATATTCGGATTAATCAACATAATTGAGGGTTAAAAAAGGAAATGAAATTGGGTTTAACATTCTGTATCAATTGGACTAATGATGATGGGTATATGTCATGCTATGAGGTATATTTTGCCTAGTTGGCATTTACTCTTATTCCAATTCTGATCGGGTGTTCGATCCCTGCATTGGCCAAGAAAGTTCATACAGATTTTCTCACGTGGTTCCTCCTTGTCAGTGATGCAGGACGGAGGGACTGACAAGGACAGCTGTATAGTCGTTCGGATGGTACGAAAAACCGAGTCCCGTGTACACATTGGCATGCACATAAAATATCCCTTGACAGTTGGAATTCGATATAAGAGAAGACCGTAGGGCCGCTGCCCAGGCAAAATTTCCCTCATAGCACACTGTATGGTGTATGCCCGTCTTCATTAGCCCAGTATAGGAGCAGAACAGTAGGACGTTAATCCCCATTTCATTTCTAATTTCAGTTCTAATTGTCAAGAGTTCTTTTAGGTGCCATGTCGTTGGTTCTGTACCACTGACAAGGGGAAAACCACACTTGAGAATCCAGAAAAACTTTCTTGGCCAATGCCATGATCGCAATAATAAAATTCACAGTTTCTCATTCCATTTCTCATGACTTACAAAAAAAAATATGAAAAATATGAACTCGACCATAAATCTGGGACCTCAGCCAGTGCCATACTCGCTGATCCACTGTGACTCAAGTAAATCAGGAAATGAAGTGTTGTGCTGTGTGGGGGTGGAGGGTGGATGTCAGTGGAGGCAAGCTCCATAGTAGTCACCAAAATAAAAACAGTACTAACCTGTTCTGGTTTGAGACCAGGGGGAACCCAGGTGTATTCCTCTAGCGGACAGCCGCTGTCATCGTCCGACGTCGAGTTACGTTTAGCATCGTGAATCAGGCGTTGAATACTTCGATCTTGATCACTGCCGACAGACATATCGTGTGTCTCCGGTGGACATTTGCAGTGACGGCAAATTTTTCTGAAAAGACAAATAATGAGTTAAGTAAATCTGTCGTGATAACTTTCTATAGAATTATATACAAACAATGAATAAAAGATGTGGAAGGAGGACGGCTGACATTATCCGTCTGCATGAAAACATTAAATGTCTTACACAGTTCAATTCACGATGATAATAGCCAGTTGAAAGAAAACATAGGCAGTTGTCAGGACAAAATAGAAATTGTTTAAGGTCCATTTATTGGCATTGACTTTCCATTATCCTCCATCTACAAGACTAATATCCTGTTGTGTGCCTCGTCTGCTCACGGCACCGTTCGTATTTGGTCATGTAATTTGCCATATAAGGTCAAAGTGTTGTGTATTCCATTATACATAATCGCCAATATTAAAGACCCAAGCCTATACAACAGACAGAGAATATAACCGATCTTCGATTCTTCGATAATAACCCATACACACGCCAAACATATACCACCAAAGGTCAAGGGTTATAATCTTTAGTTCTGCTGTTGTCCTCAATTTCTATCTATCACTAGTCAGATCAATCAACAAGAAAATCTGATTACGAGTCTGTAAAAAAAACATTTTTACAAGCAAACACTTGGCTTACATAACACTATCTGGCAAGTATTTGTATTCTACTGGAGGATTTAATGGAATATCTAAAACAATATCTCCATTACAGCCATTCTAGAACTTCTCTCACAAGTAAGTCTTTCAACACGCATTAGTATTCCATCCCTATAGCATTTTCCTATTAACACTTTATCCATATTGCTTTATTTTTTTTCCTTTTCTCACTCGCATAATATCAATCGTTATACATATATATTTCACAAGACAGGTCTATGTGCACGTCTCTTGCATTGAGAGGACTTGTGCTACTGAACAAGACTGTCAGAAACACACTCATCTAATTCTATATATAAATAATGCCTACAGGCAAATAAAATAAAATTCAAATATACTGCCTCACTACCAGACTCCGACGTCGTGACAAACATGTCCTTATTGCACCTGTTTATGGGAAAAAAATGTGGTTTAACATCCTACTGTTCTGTACCAACTGGACTAATGAAGACGGGCATACACCTTTCAGTGCGCTATGACATAATATTTCCCGGGGGAGTGGTATTTCCGTTGACTCTTCATCAAATCCCAACGATCAAGGGATCTTTGATGTGCACGTGGCATTTCCGTTGACTCTCCGTCAAATCCCAACTGTCAAGGGATCTTTGACGTGCACGCCAACAAGTACAGGGCTTGACCTTGGTTTTTTTTACCCATCCAAACTACAAGACATTTTTTCTTGCCAGACCGTTACAAGAGGAAGCCAAATTATAAAAATCCCAATGAAATGTGAAACATTTTTTTGTACATACCTATCAAAATAAATGGAACCTAATATTCACAGATATGAAACTAAAAAGGTTTAGCAACTATCTTACACTCCAGTTGATCAATTTTAAAAATCCAAATATTTGTTCACATGTAATTATATATATATAAGTTGTCATCAAATATCCACCATTTTTACTACAACACAAGACTTGAAACTAAAGGTTGATGAGTCCAAGTATTACAGTGTGTGAAATAGCTTTATCTAACGTCCGCTTCTCATGAGGTGATATTTCAGACAAACCAACTATTACAGAAAGAACTTTGTCTTACATATTATAAAACATCCTAGTTTTGACACTAGTTCAGCTTGTATGACATTCAACAACTACAGACCATCATCAGACAATCAGTTTATCAGCCACTAAAACAACCAATTAATTGATCAGCTCCTTCATATACATACACACACACAAAACATAATCTGGTAAATCCTTACAAGTCCTGCATAAACTTGATGAGTTACTCCCTGTCTTCCGATCTGTTGTCTTCTATATTATAAATAATCCCTTGTAACACATGTCTAGAAACATAAGTCCTTTTTTTTTTTCGAGGGTTAAGCTTTTTTGGATCCCCACTGTGATAAATACCCTAAAATATCCTTTCAATAGGTGAAAAGACCATGTTAACTCTCCCTTTTTCTAAAGCTCTGGCTTTGATCCTCAGCTTTCTATGTCATTATACATACTAGCAGCTTGTGCAGCATGTGTGGTTATATTGAATAGAGAGACAGAGAGAGAAGGGGGCAGTGGGATACCAACACAAGCAGGTTGCTACTTTGTCTATCAGTTTGAATTGTTTGCTGTGAGACTCACTGTCAATCATTCTATGTAGAGTTAATGCTGTTAATTACTAGGTCGAGAAAGATCAAAGGGTTTTAGAGATTAGGTCAGTTTGTACACTAGTATATAATAATATGTAAGAATGGTTTATGGTGGAGGTGTTGTAATTCCACACATGTTCCTTAACACCCGTAATCTACATGACAATAAGATAATAAAATTCACCTGGTTTTACACAAAACATCCATCATCACCTATACTCTCTTAAACACAAGCTAAAGCATTTAATATTAAATCCTTTAAAGGCATTAAGTAGCAATAAACTATAACAAATACTTATGGAAGAACAAATCCTATTTTACAAGTATTTAGACAATGTCTTGAAGATTAATTTTAAATATATCCTAATAATCTTTATAACTAATATCATTTCTTTAAATAATCTCATACCCCCACCCCCCTCAAAAACCCCCCCAACAAATCTGCTTATAACCCAGCCATGAAATAATCCCCTATTCCGAACCTCAGCAGACCAAATCAGCTTATAACCCAGCCGTGAAAATAACAGTGACATAATCTTTCTATGACATTTAAATATTTTCAGATTTTTGACACCTGATTTATGGCCAGTTGTAAATATGTCTAGTAATCTATTGTTTTAAATAAATGAAAACCCTATAGAATTACATGTAGACACTATAGTATCTGCTTTAATAAGGGGTTGGGTGGTCTAGTAGTTTAACATGTGCTCGTGGGCATGGGCGAGGTCTAGTGATTTAACATGTGCTCGTGGGCGGGGGGTTGGGTTGCCTATTGATTTCATGTGTGCTCTTTAGATCATAAGATCTGTCATTGAGTCTAGTAGTGTGGTTTTGATTCCCCCGCTTGTACATGTACGCGACAAGGAGTAGGGTCGCCTGTCCAACCTCATGGGTTTTCTTCGGTTAAAGGTTCCTAAGCACAAGTGAACGGTTGAAATAAAACTGAACCATATGTTATTCCTGAAATAACCTAGTTTGTGTCGAGTGGACGTTAAACCCCATTTCTCTCTCTCTCTCTCTCATCTGCTTTAGTGCTTTAAAACAAGTTCCATATATGCCTATATTGATTTAACTTAACAAATCCAATATTCAACTTATCCAACCTTTAATACCTATAGCTTACAATGTCAGTGTGCTTGTCTGCTTTGTAGTTGAATATGGTATGTTTAATTAAAATGAAACTAAAGTATATCTCTTTTAAACATTCTATTATTCACATATATATTCTTCTTTTAACCAACAAACAAACCATCCCACTAAAAACTAAGTGTATGTAAATGATTTTTCTATGTTTATGATTTCGACAAGTCTATAATCAGTGTTTTCGAGTCCAAGTTCTAATTCAATATTCTGTCTCTTCAAAATTCCCTCTGTGAACGTTTCCGTCTAAATTGGTAAAAGACACTCAAGGGAGCCTGTGACAATATACAGCAATTACTGGTCCACGATTCATGCATATTTCACGAGATTAAACACCATCGAATGGAACATCGACTTCAACTAAGCTCATGTGTCAGCACGCTAGCAGCAGCCATTTTTTGGAGGATTTTATGTAATGCTCAAACAAAGATTTTTGGACTTATTTTCATGTCAATTTGTAACACAATGACCTTTGAAACCTTTTTACAAATTGTTATTTGTTTTTTAGAACAGTTGGGAAGTTTGAAAATTTCATATGCTGAACTTGAGAGAGAGAGGTTTAATGGCCACTTGACACAAACTAGGTAATTTTGGGACTAACATATCATTAAATTTTATTTCAATAATTCGCTTCTTTAGCAGTGGGAGGAAACTGTAGAAAACCCACGAGGTTTAACATCTACTCAACACAAACTAGTTCATTTCCGGGTTAACATATGTTTTATTTGTAATGCAAGTAGGAGTCTTTAGCAGTGGGAGGAAACCGGAGGACCCAGAGAAAAACCCATCAGGTTAGACAGAAGACCCTACTACAGTATATGTCTAGTTCAACCATGCCACTAGACTCAAAAACAGACCGCCAAACTCTAAACATAGAACCGAAAAATCCCATTAGAGGGACTTTCTGTATGAAAATGACCTTCCAAAGTGACCTAATATCCTACCCAAGTGTGAAAATAGACGAGATCAACAGGGATATTTTCACTTCAAACTTTAAAAATATTTTGCTTCTGAGAGAAATGTCAACCAAAAACTTTAAATTTTAAATTCTGGCAATGTTGATCGCATTAATTTAAAAAAAAAACAAAACAAAAAACATCTAAAATATTTTAAACATTAAATTCCATAATAAAACAACAATCTGGTAACCCCCCAGATGACAACCGAGGTTTGATATTTTAAACTCGGCCTAAAAACACCACAAACGTTCCATACTGTTTTTTGTATATAATTGTAACTCCAACAAATGACATTTTAAACTCGGCTCCAAAATACCAATCTTTCCATATTGTTTTTTGTACTTAAAAGTTTGTGTTTGTAAAGATGTTATAAGTAAAAGCGGATCAAGAGTTCGACCACGACCCGGGTTAATATTGTTTGTATAATAACTAATATCAATTATTGTTAAACCTACAGTAGAAAATAATAACAGTTATTTTTTAAATGTGTGGAAATAGACAAAATGTCTGTACACTTCCTCCGAGTTAACAATAAGTTTTACTTAAGCTATAAGATAAATAAACTGGGTAATTAAACACAAAGAACTGTTAGTTATCTAATCCTTTTTATCTTTCTTTAATCTCTGGGTTTTAAAAATAACCACCTAGATGTGTTAATTATTTATCAAAATAGGCAGTTATATGGCCTACCTTTGT